CATCCTCAGTGTACAAAAAACACACTAATTGTTTATTTCCTGATGCTAAATGCCTGCTCAATTACTCAGAAATTGCACAGTCTCTTTAGCAGCGGTGCAAACCTGTTTGTCATTTTTATCATCAATGCCCAAAAAGGCACTATTTTTTTTCATTTTATGGCTGTTATAGAGTATGTTAGATGAAGCACTCAGAAATTGTGGCCTGTTCAACAACTCCTTCTAGCTGTGCTGAAAACCTGTATGCTATCGTCAGCATACATTTTTTGTTTTGTCAGTACAGGCCTAATAACTGTCCTGCAAAACTGTCACATTTTATCCATCTTTAGACTTCAAAAGAAGGCACCAATTTTAGATTTCAATGTGCAAATTTATTTTTTTTCTCTCTCCTTCAAAAAATTGCAACTTTTCAGCAAAGTCATAAAAAGCGTTCTTCAAAAATGTTCCACTTTCACTCTTCAAACATAAAAAGAATACAATTTTATATGTCATGTGTTTGCTAACTCCCTCTAGAATAGTGGAATAGTAAAAAGGTTTCAAGACATCTGCATCAAATTTTTACCGTTGTTTAGTATGAAATATCATACTCTAATTGTTTTTTCCTAAGAAAAAAATTGATTCATCTCTCCCTCTTACATTGCTACCTTGGGCCTCAATCCAACGCTTGCATGCTGTCTATCTATGAAACATGGCATTGTTATTGTTTTCTTGTTCGGCATAAATACTGCCTCAGTTCTGCAATGTGGGATAGTGGTTTGGAGATGTTTTGATTCAAATCTGAGCTGATATTTTTGTTTAACTTTGTACACAATACAGTGTGTTATGTAACAGAAGATCACAGCAAGCTATGCTCTGTGACTTGGTTTACTCTTGTTGGCAATTTACATGTATTAAGTTGATAGTGCTTCCTTTTTGTTTTTTTTTTTTTAAGGGAAATATACTTTCTAATAATTTTTGCTGTATTGTCTCTTCTGCTTATTACTTAAGGCTTATTATTGCTACACAAAAGATCAGTTGTTTGCGCAAAAACCACAAATGTATTTTTCGGGGTGGAAATCAATCATACTCTGTTGCTTCTTCTATATGTAAGCCGAGCAATTATGTAAGAATAAAGCAATTAATTAGAATTGAAGTTCATGTGTTGCCAGAATATGGCATAGCAGAAGTTTTCCCCAGGAGTCATAACATTCTTTAATTACATGTACAGTTTTAAAGGGTAACTCCGCTTTCATGGGAAAAAATATCATAAAGAAAAAAAAATAATAATATATAGCATATATAATTGCGACACATTGCTATATTGTAATTTATTGTTGCTAAAAATGACATTTTCTTTTCAATCTACAGCACTGTATTCTTCTGTAAAATTCAATGCAACATAGCAACCTGAAGGCTTTCTGTACAAAGTTGGTGTACGGAATGCCCACAAAGATGTCAATTCCTACTTTTATGATTGGTTCACCAATTTTCCCAGAAGCCTGCACTAAGATACAGTATGTCAGGTTTTAGGCATTCTCTGCAACAAAATTGTCCATTTTGGTGACATGCTCCTAAAGGGTTAATCACTTCTAAAAAATGGAGACCATGACACTCTCTCCTCATTAGAGTATTGCAAGTTCATCAGCTGATGAAAAATGAAAAAGTTACTCCCATTCAAAATCAGTCCTGCTCAAGGCATGAGCTAAAGAACGCTATTTCTTCAGAGCAGAAACAGGTAGGACTCTGCAACACATTGTTTTGTTCTCAGCAAAAGTGGAGTTACTCTTTAAGGCATCTACATAAAAGAGGAATGGGGGCTTGTAGCAAAAGAATGCCACATCCAGAAAGATGTTGAAAACAAAAAGCAAATAGTCCCAGCTGACTTTTAAGGCTCCCACACAATACTATATAAAAACAAATTGTTTTATTAATGTACACGTGGTTAAAATCTAGGAATAAAATTACAGCATGATAAAATTACAGCATAATCATACAGTATATATAACATCAAATAGCTGTGCCTCATCCAGAAAGTATGTTGCACTCCCAACTTACAAAACCATATGCTCATATAGGCATTGTATTCTATTCATCAAATATGCTCAATATCAAAGAGTAGCAGAAATGGCACATCAGCTGGGAGTGAGACTAGCTATTAACTCTACGTGTTTCCTGGAATCAAGTTTTGCTTCTTCAGGAGATATATAAAAATATATTACAAAGTGTACATAGCAATCAGTCAATAGCACAACAGATTAAGAACCAATCCATGCTTGTCAAATATGTATAGACTTGCAGAAGATCCCACCAAAGTGCAGAGGCTTTTCAGATGGCTCAGAGAAGAGCACAAAAAAGGGACCAGTACTGATATATGGATTACTTCTGTATTAATGATCTAAAAGTAATGAATAGTGCATGTGAATGTAAACATGCAAAACCATCTAGGGATCCCTCAAGGAGAAAAAATGACTAAGGATACAATACATAGGTGAAGGCCGAGTTAATGAGAGGGCTTCCCTTACAACTCCTGTCCAGTACCCCCTTGAATTGGTTACATGCTGTAGCAGGACGAGGAGTGCCAAGTGTGTCTGTGGTAGGTCCTGCCACTGTGGGTGGTCAGATGACAGTCTGGATACTGTTGAAATACTATAGATGCAGAATTGGAATTTGTGCAGTATGCTGTCACACAGAAGGACCACAGGACCCTGCAGGTGCATGACTCAAAGACATACACAAGAAAGCCAGAGTCAGCAACAACCAGGCAGAGAAGGTTCCAGTTTGGATGGTAGAAGCAGTCAGTTGCCAGGCTGCAATTGATATCAGATGAGCAGAAGAAGAAGCAGGAGGCAAAACAGCTTGAAACACAGGATAATCGGGATGCAGTCTGGTCCCAGATCACTGAAGCTGATGACCACCCAGCAATTCCATTTAGTACCATTAAGCCTTAAATAGGCCACCGGGTGCCACAAGCCAGTTCTAAATGTGCAATAGCAAACAGTCCTGACTGTGTTGTGCAGCCCTGTGTACTGGTCCTCATGCTGCTGCTTTGTGAACAAACACCAGATCCTCGGGCATGGTCTTCCTGACAGGACAGCAATAAAAATTTTAAAGAAGTATGAGAAGAGTAATCTCATGTCTATCCAAAACTCCAAAAATAAAGCTTTGGCTTTAGTTAGGCTTTACATATAATTATTTCAAAGAATAAACTACAGTATAAGATCTTATTTAACTACTGTTGGGAGAAAATATCAGCCAAACAGGGAAAGCATGGATTAGCTTTCCTTACAATAGAAGAAGATGTTGTAAAGTCTGACAAGAGTATAACAACACTGCAAAGCAGGAAGTAGAGTCTGCAAATATGGCTTCTCAATGTACATAAATGTATATACATGTATATATAATAATAACTTTTTTTTATAGTAACAAGGTTTTAAAACATTTCAATACTTTGATCAGATCACTTTATATTACATTAATATCTAAAAACAGAAACAAAAAAATGTAAGTATTATGCCTTCCTTTTAACTATTTTAACATGTTCAATAATATCTTCAATAAAAACAGGCAAGATAAGTGTTACTTTGGAGCAGAAATATTTCAGCATGCTGTAAAATCTGTACTGCTTAATTATAAATAAGAAAACTAATGTCCAGGGGAAAATGAATTTGTCTTGGACTTTATTACAGTCAATAACTGACCTTCAAGTTTGCTTTTTGTTCTCATGACTTAGATCTTTTAATCTCATAGCAATCTCAAAGCACTCACATTCTGTGGTTTACAGCACTAGTCTCTTTTCCTCACCTTTCTCAAATTGTATTCCTTTCCAGTCCCCAGGCACATATGCCACTTTTACAAGTTTACTTAATTTTGTCTTTTATTCTATCCTTTTCATAACATTCAGTCTGATTATTTCCAAATGTTTCCTCATTCACAGTATGCCACTTCTAATATCAGTTATTCTTTCTCAATCAGTAGAGGATGACTATTTCTTGTGTACGACTCTCTCTTTAAAGTGCTAGCCTTTCACTGAACCAACTGAAGGTAAAACATCCTTTCTAACTAATGGAATTGGCGGCCTAAGTCACGCCTTTACTTTAGTGTGCAATTACAGTTTCTGCTTTAATTGCCCATTAAGAATTTGTGTGTTGGGATCGGAATGGAAGAATCTGATTGACACGAACAGTGGTGAGTAAATCTCACCAACCATATTATAACATCCTGTGCGTAGCACAGAAAAGCCTTCTTAAAATAAAAGATATATTCGCGTGTCTCTTTCAAACATAAAAGGATTATTCCTCATTTTAGGAAATTGGGGAACAATGCAAATAATTATTTTTAATTTCTCTGGCCAGATGCCCATCCAGAACTACAAATGTATAATGCACATATAGAATACTATTATAGAGTCATTTATCTTGAAGTGCATACACTTGTTTCAGGCCTATTGGTTCCCATTAGTGCAGTGTAGAGAAACCATGGCCTCTATGGAGTAGGCCTTGGGATCCAACTAGAGAGAGATTAAAGAAATCAAAAAGCCTACCTCTATTAAGTGCATACCATGGTAAAGTCATTCACACCAGTGGAAACACAATAAGCAGTAAATCCTAATGGGGACTCTAGCTCTTCCAAACCCAGCCAGAAAAAGTTATCTTTAAACATACATAAATTCCCTTGGTTTCTCTGTATACTTTTGGACAGGAAAATGTCTCTCATATAGTATATCAACATGTCAGTACTAAGAACAAGATTTACTTTCAGAATAAAACCTACCCTAAAAATGTAAATCTACATGGTGGCTTTAGGGAAATAATGAAAGTTTCTTAGTAAGAACATAGTGGTACACTGTCAGCAACACAACCTTAACCACCTTCCGCCCGCCCTATAGTAAAAAGACGGGCGCAAGGTGGTTCTCTCGTTCTAATAGGACGTCATATGACAGCGATCACCGGTGCTCTGTGTCCCTCGGACACAGCGGATCACGGAAAGAGCCGAAGATGTCAGCTCGGTCATGTGATCAGCTGTGTCCAATCACAGCTGATCACATGTAAACACGGAAATGCCGGTTATCGGCATTTCTCTCCTCTCGAGCTGTCACGCTGACAGCTCGAGAGGAGAGGAGAGGCGGTAATCGGCTTTCCGCGGAGGGGACATGTACACTGATCATCAGGGCACAGATCAGTGTGCCCTGATGATCAGTGTGACCCCAGAAGTGCCACCTGTCAGTGCTCATCAGTGCCACGTGCCAGTGCCCATCAGTGCCACATCAATGCCACATATCAGTGCATACCAGTGCACATCAATGCCACATATCAGTGCCCATCTGAGCTGCCTTTCAATGTCACCCATCAGTGCCAGTCAGTGCCACCTATCAATGCCAATCAGTGCCACCTATCAGTGCTGCCAATCAGTGCCACCTATCAGTGCCAGTCAGTCCCGCCTATCAGTGCGCATCAGTACCAGTCAGTGGTACTGATGCGCACCACTATCAGTGCAAGTCAGTGCCGCCTAACATTGCCAGTCAGTGCCGCCTATCAGTGCCAGTCAGTGCTGCCTATCAGTGCCATATATCAATGTCATCATCATCAGTGCCCATCAGTGATGCCTGTCAATTCCCATCAGTGCAACCTACCAGTGCCTCATCAGTGCCCATCAGTGCCACCTATCAGTGTCCATCAGTGCAGCCTATCAGTGCCCATCACTGCAGCCTCATTAGCGCACATCAGTGAAGGAGAAAAATCACTTATTTACAAAATTGTATAACAAAAACTAAGAAAAAACTTTTTTTTTTCAAAATTTTCAGTGGTTTTTGGTTTGTTTAAGAAAAAAATAAAAATCCCAGAGGTGATTAAATACCAGCAAAAGAAAGCTCTATCTGTCTAAAAAAAAATGATACAAATTTCATATGGGTACAGTGTTGCATGACCGTGCAATTGTCATTCAAATTGTGACAGCGCTGAAAGCTGGAAATTGGCCTGGGCAGGAAGGGGGTATACGTGCCCTGTAGGCTAGTGGTTAAAGTGTTACTAAACCCAGGACCCTGCATTCACTATATCTAGTCATTCACAGACACAGAACACGGAAATGCAATTATTGTAGTAAACATATACTGCTAAAACCTTTTCTCATCAGCAGTTAATAGCAGTCTTGTGACTTCTATCAGTGTCCAGACAAGTTTTCATTCTGCTCTGACTGTCCTATGAGGCTGCATAATGCCTGACCTCTGTCTGGACCAAAGAAAAAAACTCTCTAGCTACACACACCAAACTGAGCATGTGCAGAGTGACTCCTAAAGCTCTGTTCTATCAGCAGATGGATTGGGGATGGTAGAAGAGAGGGAGGATCAGAGAAGACAGGATCAAACAGCCTTTTTACACAATGCAGAGGATTAACCCCTTAGGCTCTACAGTGAGTATTACAAGCATGCTTACTGCATAAACAGACTGATTTTACTGTTGTGTATTTAGTAGAACTTTAAGTGTAACTCCACTATGTGGGAAAAAGAAATTCACACATAAAAGAAAAAATTATAGCATTTGCAATTGCCACACAAGTAGTATTGTAATATAACAATTACCTTTCCTTTAATTCCTGTACTTTTCTGTAAAATACAGTGCAATTTGGCTACCTGGAGACATTCTGTACACAGATGGTGTACAGAGTGCCCCCCAGAAATTTCATTTTCTGCTTGTGTGATTGGCTCACTGATTTTCCCAGAAGTCTGCACTAACATACAAATTAAATTTTGGGCATCCCAGCACCTCTGCAACAAACATTTCAGTTTTGGTGAGATACTCCCAAAGGGTTATTTATGTCTGAAGGGATTCAGACCCTGCCATTTTCCTCATTAGAACCCAAGTGCAGCAGCTGATCAATAAGGAAATGTCACTAACATTTACATTCAGGTTGCACATGGACAGAGACAAACAAACAGCTATTTCTTCATAATAACGAAAGGAAGTAATCTGTAACAAAGTTTGTCAAAATCCTTGTAATGTACATAGATTACATACTGTAGAGGGGATCTTTTTTTTCTCAACGAAAGTGAAGTTACTCTTCAAAGTTTATGTAAATCATAAATGTCTCAAGCATATAGTTATCATAAGCAAAAATTTTTTTTAACTGTTGCAAAATTTCCCTCTTGGAAATCCTATCACTAACTGTACTTCTGTTGCAAGCTGACAATGCCAAACCACTGATTCACCATTAGAGGAAGGTATGTCAGCAGTGAGGCGCCAATGACTCAGTTCAAACCTGGATTCAGATCAAACTTTGTCTGTTCCAGTGTTTAAATGAATGCCTGAATATTTGCCCATTTGACCCTCTCCTTGGGAAGCTATTATTCCGAGAGTGGTACCATTGGGATCAGTTGTCAATTCATCAGGGGTTTTTTTAGGTGATTTGGCAGGCTAAAGCATTGAGATTGAGGGACTTTTTGGGGATTTCAATTTTTTAAAGGACTTATCAAACTTTTAAATATCAATTTCTAGGTTACAAATCTTTTGTGTGTGTGTGTGGGGGGGGGGGGGGGGGAGTAGGGGTACTAGTAGGAAAATTTTTAATGTTCCACATTAAGCATTTAGAAAAAATGTTCTTAAGAAACTAAAAAAAAAAAAGATTGCATTAATGCATACTCCCCAGGGCTGTGTCCACCCCCTTGCTATTTTATGCCCCCTTGCCCATTAGACCAAAAAATTGGCATTTTTAATTTGACTGATTCTGCTCCCATTGTTATCAGTGGGGTGCGGGTTCAACATCCATCCATGAACCTTCCTTCTTAACTGCTTAAACCAAATCCAGGGCAGTTTGGCGCATCCCTAGTTGTCAGCATGCCATGTGAGCATCTTTAGTTGGCCATTGGACCCTCTGTTTAATACACCATTTTGCAACAGCCAACTGAAGAAGCACACACTGCAAGTTGACTGCAAGCTGACAGTACAGCTGCTAATTGTGAGACCAAGACTTAGTTGTAAGCCTGCATTAGGAAGTTCTGTTACTGGCCAGATCCTTAAGTAAGAAACTTTGAATTAGATGGTTTTTTTGAAATTATATGTTACTACTAACTACAGGTTTTGCCTCCTGCATTTGCATTACTTGAATAGTTTTGTCTGATTCTTAGATATCAGCAGCAAGTATCCCCATGCTTAAGAAATGGAAATTCTGCATTAAGAGGTGACAGACCGGGGGGGTTCCATTAAAAAACCCTTTAATTTCCATTTTTTTAATTGCTTTAAAACACAAATGAGTTCATACATTAACTTTCTGACACAGCCATTTCCTAATTTTGGTTTTTCCCAGGTTACAAATGAAAGGTTAAAATATTTGCAGTTTAATATGGAAATGACATATATATAGGTTTTCTGGCTCTTCTGTGTTAACAGAAATATTGCAGTACACCTCTGTCAATATTATTACCAGATTGGATTTTATCATAAAGATATATTTATTTTACAATGAAGCAGCCAGTGTCTTGCTATTAATAACACAACTCTGTAAAAATGATCATAAAACTGTCTTGCTAATGGGCACAGAAAAACATCAAGGCTGTTTGTTATAAACCTTGCTAATGTACTCAATAAATAATGTCATTTCCCCTTAGGAAAAGGGCTTCAACATTTCAGTGCATTAAAATTCTGCACTTCAACAAGATATCTGAGCCATGTTTTGGTTGCCAATTGTAAGACGGAGTGTTTTATGAATAATACCTTCAGGTGGTTCTGTGAGATCATCTTTGAAACTCAAGGGTTATATATGCACCACTTCGGTAAAGTGATTGTTCGAAAAGAAAGACTTAAGTGAGTTAAAGATTCCATTTCCTATTCAGTCAAGGATTTGGAGGGTTTTCTTTCAGAACTTTGTAGAGTTATGAAAAGTATGCAAAATGACTTTAAAGAACAACTCCACATCTGTGAATTAGAAGAGGTAACTATAGTGTCAATTACCCATTTTGTACATATTATTATTATTATACAGTATTTATATAGCGCCAACAGTTCGCTCAGTGCTGTACATTACAATGGGGGACAATACATGAGACAGTGCGATGCACAAGGGGTTCAAGGGCCCTGCTTCTTGGAGCTTACAATCATATGTGCAGCCTTAAAGCAGTAATAAACCTAAAACATGTAAGATATAGCAGCTGACCAGTTCCTAAATGAGGTATTCCATTTGTTTTTAAATTTTCTTTTCTTTATTTTCACCTGGTGATCTGGCCAGTAACACACTGGGCACACACCTGCCCTAGGGTCTCTCCCATTTGGATGAATGAGAAATGTAGACACCTTTGGACATCATAATTGTCAATTTGGAGAGAGGGTAGTGTTAAATATAGTTATCAGATTTGGATGGACTTGACTAAAAATGAAAGCTGAATTCTAGTTTATACTTGAATATAGCAACAACAAAATAATGCCACGCTAGCCAAACGAAACCTCAGATACAAAAAAAATATAAATTAAAAAAGAAACAAACAGATGTTGCTGACCATAGCTGTAATGTGTTCCTACATCACAAAAAAAGTACAAATAATTCATAGTGTAGTACAACAATATAAATAAATATAATTACATCATAAATGAAATGAACATCATAAAGTGGGGTCCATATATTAATCATGTTTCATGTTTCTGATTCCTTGCTATTCATAAAACTCTTTAATATGTGATCTACAATATATAGCAATCAGTGCCCACCACCTGTTACTTCAGCCTCTTACCTCACAGTCTTACCACTCCCAGGTTAATTCATAAGCGCTTTCCCAGCCACAATGGGTTAAACATCTGCAGTAATCCTTCAAACAACCTCAGGTAGCTCATTCATCCATGGTCAGATTCAAGATATAGCACATCAAGCCAGGGAGAAAAAACAAACCAACTCTCACGGTGTAGTAAATAAATAATATTGTCAAAATTGTAAAAATGTCAGGAGGCGGAGTTTAATGAAATCATCACAACAGGACATTTGGCAGTGAACATCTTAACATGGTATTCTCAGACATTTATCCTTAAAGCGGAGTTCCACTCACGCTGTCAAAAAATAAAAGTCAGCAGCTACAAAAACTGTAGCTGCTGACTTTTAAAAAACAGCCACTTACCTGTCCCTCGGTCCCGTGGTGTGTCCCCTGCAGCCTTGTATTCCAGGAGGCCGGCATCCTCAGTGTGGGCACCCGGCTGTGATAGCTTGCGGCTTCACAGCCGGGTACCCACTGCGCTGCGCTTCATGAATGGTCCTGTAGTCCTCTGGGCCCTGTCACATGTCCCAAAAGACTACAGGGAGGGAGGACACCTTCCGTTTCCGATCGCCTAGGTGATCAGACCGGCAGTGGGAGCAGGTACCTGTCAAATTTTAAGGTGCCAATCCTTAATGGGGAGCAGGGGAGCAGTCCTTAAAGTGGAACTTCCCCTTTTGGGTGGAGCTCCACTTTAAGGAGGCAATCTGTGTTCAATATTTAAAAAGGTGATTCACCTTTTTCACTGGATCTTTCAGTGCACTTGCTTTGTGAATAGTTTTAATCTTTTGGGCTTATTAAAGGATTGAACGTTTATTTACTACACCATGAGAGTTTGTTTGTTTTTTCTTCCTGGCTTGAC